TGCTGACAGCCCCATCTCTCCTGAGCTCTGCGTCTGCCCAAGGTAAGAAAATAAGCTCTGAACCAAGGGAAGGAGTAGGCTGATTGGGTTTCAAAAACAGGAACAGCAGCCTGTTGCTATGAAGATACTTGGTGTTTTCAAAGTTTAAAAAAAAAAATGTTTTTAATGACTCACATAAAAGGCACACACAGCCTCCTTGTAAAAACACATGGAAAATCCTGGACCAGAGGGCTAGGGGCCAGGACAACTAACTGGTCTGTAGCTTTTGAAGGCTCTGGAGTGCCTGGCGCTCGGGAACCACACAGCACGTCACGGCACAAATGTGGCTGCAAAACCTCCAAACGTCTCGTACGTCTGCAGCAAAGGTGTGTTCCTACGCAAGTATGGGAAAGGGCTTTAAAAGCATCCGTGGCCCTGTGCTCTGATGAGACCTGAATTATCCGCGCGTCCCTGTGATTTCGCGCCATTCTGTTTCTGAGGACGTGAGTCGATGTTGACTCATAAGTAGACACCCAGTCGGACCTCGATTAACCTGGTCTTGCCATTTCCTCTTGCATTCTGACCTCAGTTCGATCACTATTTCTGTTTTTAAGTAGCTTTGTAGGGCTCGGGTCCAGCCTGTGGACTGTATGCTGGGCTCCCCGGAGCGGGGCTTAGGGTGGTCTCGGCCTTTGCAGGGTCATTCATGCAGGGCAAGCAGAGGCAGCTCTGCCCACGTGGCTGTGTGCCACTGGGGAACTGACTCCACCTCTCTGAGCTTCTTCTAGAAATGGCCAGATGGACGCCAAATAGCAACACCAGGTACAACTCCGCCTGTCTCAGTGGCTCCAACTCCTCCCAGCTTCTACCAGCTACAGCCAGGCTCCCAGGCTCCCAGGGTGAGGACTCTGCAAAGGTCTCAGACCACTCATTAGCCTCAGGCTCTCCATATTGTGCTCTTGTCTTTATTTGAAGAATAAAGACAGTAAATGAATACCTGGGCATAGGGCCATGAGGGCAGACTGGCGTGATAAAGGACACGGAACGGGTCGCCCCTCTGGTACCCTCTTGGGCTCCTTGGAACACAGCCCAAAGGGCCCTGTTGTCACCTGCAAGTGCCACTGCCCCCTTGGGCATGGTAGGACACACCTCCCTATAGCTTCAGGGGACTTCCACCTCCCCCTTGGTCCTCACTGGGCCATCCCCTCTGTAATCACCTTCTCTACCCACCTCTGCAGATTTTTCCCAAACCAACTCCCGTTTTCCATGTGGGAAAACTGAATGCCTAGAAAGCACCTGAGGCCACACCCAGATCATTCCAGACTCCGCCCTAGGTCCCAAGTTCCACTCCCAGACTGTGTCCAGGCCCTGTCTCTGCCCAGCTGGCCTCAGCGGGTTGCTGCCTTTTCCCATCTATCAGGCCTTAGACTCCAAAATCCCACTTAAAATAAGAGCAAAACCAAACCACAGAAGCATCCATGGTGATTTTAATGAGACTGTCCCCCTAGACTCACATGTTTGAATGCTTGGTCCCCAGTTGGTGGAACTGTTTGGGAAGGATTAGGAGGTGTGGCCTTGTTGGAGGAGGTGTCATTGGGGGTGGGCTTTGAGGTCTCAAAAGTCCACACTATTCCCAGTCACTCACCCTTCCTCTTCTCTCTCTCTCTCTCTCTCTCTCTCTCTCTCTCTCTCTCTCTCTCTCTCTCTCCTCTCCCTCTGCCTCATGGTTATTGCCCCAAAATGCGAGCTCCCAGCTACTGCTCAGCGCCTCGCCAGAGCCTTCTGCCATTGTTCCCCACCCTGATGGTCACGGACTCTGACCCTTTGGAACCGTGAGTCCCAAATTAAATGCTTTCTTTTGTAACTTGCCTTGGTCACAGTGTCTCTTTACGGCAATAGAAAAGTAGCTGAGACACAAGGTGATACCAGGGGATGAACTATTGCCCGACGACGACGTGCGTTCACGGAGGAATGTGGACACAACTGAGACTTCGGACTCAGAAAGCGGTTGGATGCTGGCAGCGGAGCTCAGCAGATCATCCTGTCAGAACACGGACGATCATAGCGTTGAGAGCGACGTGGAAGCTCACAGCTCCGGAGGTTTCAGAGGGAAGCAACATCAGCCACTGGGTTAGAGGTCGTCCTTGTGATATTTTGGCAATGTACATGTGGCTGGGTTTTTTTTTTTTCTTTCTTTTTTTCTCTTATCCTAAGAATCTGTCTGAGGCTAAACTGAAGAGTTCTGGAGTAATTTTCTTGGCAGAGGAGGTTTTTAAGACAGTCTACTGTTTTGACTGTGTTATGTGATTTTTAGGGGTCACTCTTACACAGAGCTACATAAAATGAAAAAGGATCAAGCAGGGCAAAAAGAAATACAAAATTGTAGTTTGATGAGAAAACAAAACAAAACAACGGAGAGTGTGATGTTGGAGCTGCATCCCGTGCTCAAGGTTTAAAGACAGGCCTGGTGCTAAATGATATAAAGGGAGAGGTGACCTCAGGGCAAGACCCCGCCCAGCCAAGCTTCCAACGTGTAAATCGGTAATTCCTAAGGAATCTTAGGCTCCTAAAGCAAAGGGACACGGATTCAACAAAGGAAAGGATCAACAAATCAAAGTTTATGAAATGTAATTCCAGGAGGGGCCCAGGCTCCTCCCCAAGCGTACCTCAGAACTGGGCAGCGGCAGGCACACGGTTCTGACTTTAGAGTCGTGAGACTATAGGTGTAAGGAAGGCCTCATGTAAAGGGCATGTGTCAGGGCTGTTCCTGCGTGGAGGCTCAGAGGGACCATTGTTTGAAGCTGTGAAGGTGAAGCCTTAAAGACCCCCAAGATGCTGGAGATGCCAGAGCCGTAGGACACCTGCTGAGGAGAGCTGCTAACAGGGAGTCGGGCCAGCGTAAGAGAGAGAAGTGGGTTGTAGTCAACAAAGCATGAAGGGTGGAGCCATCTAAGTAAGCTCTTTGACATTTGGAGTTTGGGTTTCGGTCTCTATTTGGTTCAGTATTTCCTCACTGTGTCCTCTTTCCTCTCTTTTGGAATGGACATATCATATTCTGTGCCATTGTATACAATTGTATACATTGGAAGTATGTGGTCTGCTTTTTGAATTTACAGGAGGTTACAGTTAAGAGATTGCCTTGAGTCTCAGAAGATACTTTGGACTTTTTTTTGAGACAGGGTTTCTCTGTGTATCCCTGGCTGTCCTGGAACTCCCTCTGTAGATCAGGCTGGCCTCAAACTAACAGAGATCTGTCTGTCTTTGCCTCCTGAGTGCTGGACTTTTACACAATATTAAGACTGAAAGGCAAGGTGGTAGTGGTGCACACCTTTAATCCCAGCACTCGGGAGGCAGAACCAGGCGGATCTCTGTGAGTTCGAGGCCAGCCTGGTCTACAGAGGGAGATTCAGGACAGGCAACAAAACTACACAGAGAAACCCTGTCTTGAAAAAACAAAACAACAACAACAAAAAAAAGACTGAAAGACTATGGGGACTTTTGAGGTTGGAATGAATGTGTTTTGCATAAAGGTATGGCTACAAGCCTGTGGGACCAGGGAGTGGGGTGTGCTGTTTGAATGAGAATGGCCAGTCCTTTGCCGTCTCTGGGTCCAGTTACTCTCTGTAAAGGAAGGGTTTGGACTGAGACCTAGCAGAGGGGAGGAGAGAGGTGTGCCGTCAGACAGGCTGGTCCTGTACTGTGTGACCTTGGGGAAATAACTTGACCATTCTGGTTCAGGAAGTTATCTGTGAAACAGAAAGGTTAGGACAACTGCCTTCGGCACGCGAATGTCACTGGCTTGGCAATTGGGAATGGCAGGTGGTGTTCTGAGGTGTCAGGCCGTGGTTTGCACGTGTCCCCATTGTGGAGTTGTGGAGGCGCTGGGTCCCACTGTTAGAGTGAGGAAGGGTGGGGCCTTTAAGGGATAATCCTGCCTGAAGTGTTCCTGCAGACTAACGCAGCCATCGCCGCTGACAGGCCGAGCTCAGCCCCCTCTCAGCTCCTGTGGCCTCACCTCCTGTTCCCACCATGGGCAGCAGGAAGCCCACCAGACACCAGCTTCCGGTCCTCTTCCCGCCTCCAGAACCCAGAGCCGCATGAGCTTCTCCTGCTTATGAGTGTCCTGCTACAGCTGTGCCGACAGACAGGTGACCAGAGATACGTCCAATTGTCCAAGACTGTGAGGCTGGGTTCCCCGCCCCTCCCTCCTCCACCCCTCCCTCCCTGCGTTCTTCTCTCTCCTCCCAGCCTCCTCTCCATTACCTTTCCCTGTTTTCTTCCCCTTTCCTTCCTCTCCTCTCTCCTCATCTCTCGGTAGTTTTAGGCAGCATGACTTCAGACCCCAACAAACTTCAGCTCTGTCTCAGCTGTCCTGCCTGGGCACAACTTCCTGCCGATGGCCTTAGCATCCTCCTCTGTCACCATGGGTGAGCTGTTCTTCTAGCCACCACATTCTCAATGGAAGCACTGACTATGGGACACACACACACACACACACACACACACACACACACACACACACCAAGGACTGCTATGTCATCTGGAGACCAACGACTGGGGTCCAGCCTTGGTTGGACTCCAGCTCTGCCATCCACCAGCTGGGTGGTGTTGGGCAAGAGACTCCACCTTTCTGTGCCTCAATTTCCTTACCAATAAACAAAGATAATACAAAAATACCTGTCTGCTCTGAAGTACAGAGTGCTTAGCACTGTGGAGATTATGCATGGAGTGCCCAGTACCCTGCCTGGTCCTTGGCTACTTCAGTAATTCAGCTGCTGTTGGTGATGATGTAGCCGGCACTGTATGAGGTGTGGCTACAGGCACCTGTGGCCATTCCCAGCTTCTTACATGGGTGGTGGGGATTCGAACTCTGTATGAGGTGTGGGGACAGACTAGGAAAATCTGCTCTGGGAGTTCCCGGTCTAAACAAGAGACACTCAGCAGGCGGGACGGCATGGTACCAGTCAGAGCCTGCTGTGATGTGGGAACAGTCTGTTTCTAGCCTGGGGAGGCTTCCTTGGGTGAGGAATCAGCCACGAAGAAGGAGCTGGAAGTCATCTGGACACAAGAGGGGCAGGAATAGCATTCAGTGATAAGGAACAGCAGACGCGAGGGCGTGGAGTTTGAGACAGCCCCTAGAGGGGGCAGAGATAACCAGCTGCAGGTCTTCAGGTTGGTCAGCACTTACCCCTCAGCAGCCTGGTTTCAAGGTTCCATTTGCGGCTCCAACTGTGCTCCTGGCCAAGGGGCGGGTCATCCCTCGTAGGCTGCTACCACCCGGGAGCGCAGCCTGGCTGGCTGGCAGGCGCAGCCTCCTCTAGCGCCCCCACTCCACACAGCTGGCGCCCCCGCCCTCCGCACGCGGTTTCCTGCTCCTCCTTCCTCTCCCAGCTCCAGCTGTTTCTCTGTCTGAGTTCTGTCCCTGTCCCACACAGAACTCTGGACAGAGTGAGGCTGTTAGGAGGTTGCTGGGGGTGCTGTGCTCTGCGGGGCTCAGAGGAAATCTTGCATGAATGGATGAAATGCTTCCAAGCAAACAGCCCCTACCAGCACAGCTGTGTGACCCGGAGAAAGAGGCCAGGGCGCGAGCGGCCTGAAGCCACAGGACCCCGAGGGGGAGACCCGGGAGAAGGTACTGCGCTTGGCTTGGAGTCCTGCAGGGGCCGGGAAGGGGCGCACGGGCGGCGGGGACCGCAGCTCTTCTCCTAAGGTGGTGTGTATCCAAGTTTCTAGGGTTGAATCAGACCTGAAGAGCGACCCTGGTGCTTGTGAAAACCAGCGTGGCTGTCGCAGGTCCATCCTTCCCCAAAACCAGCTTGAAGTCAACTTGTGCCACAGGCTATCTACTTCAGGGTCTCCGGGTTCTCTCCAGCGGGGACAGTTTGGTGGCTGCCGGCAAAGGTTGTCCTGGGACAGATGTAACTGCTCTCGGGTCTACTTCTGATTTTGTTTTTATTATTGCGAGCGAGCGGCCCTGCCATGGATGCTTTATGGAATAGTTGTGCTTTGTGTATTGGTCCTGTGGATATATTTCCATAGGTGGAGAGGCCTCGTGAGTGAGTGAGTGTGTGTGTGTGTGTGTGTGTGTGTGTGTGTGTGTGTGTGTGTGTGTATGCACATTGTCCAGATGTGCATACAGAAGTAGAACGTGGGGTCCTTGAGGCAAGGTCCCTTATAGACCCAGAAACTGGCCATTTTAGGTAGCCTGGCTACCAGGGAGTTCCAGGCATCTACTTGTCTCTGTCCCCCAGTGCTGGGGTCACAGGCACCTGTGGCCATTCCCAGCTTCTTACATGGGTGGTGGGGATTCGAACTCAGGTCTCATGCTCGCACAGCAAATGCTCTTACCCAAGGAGCCATCTCCCTATGCCTTCACTAGCTACTTTAAAATAATAGGTTTACACTGGGCAGTGGTGGCATACACACTTACACCCAGCACTCAGGAGGCAGAGGCAGGCGGATCTCTGCGAGTTAAAGGCCAGCCTGGTTTACATAGTGAATTATAGGATAGCCAGGGCTACGTAGTGAGACACCATCTCAAAAAAAAAAAAAAAGGTTTATTTTATTTTTCATTATGTATACACGTGTCAATCTCTGTGTGGGCTTGTACATAGGAATGCAGGTGCCTGAGGAGACAAGGGGCGTCAACTTCCCCTGGAGCTGGAGTCACAGATGGTTGTGAGCTGCCATGTGGGTGTGGGGAATTGAACTTGGGTTTTCTGGAAGAACAGCTGGTACTTTCAACTGCCGAGCCATCTCTCTAGCCCCTCACTAACCATTTTAAGATGTGTGAGCTGTCTGCTGTGGCAGTTTCTGCCCGCTGACACTCCCTATGGCGTGACACGAAGCCCCTCCACCCCCCATGGCTATCTGCCCCTACCTGAGACACTTCCACTTGCACCTCTTTATTTTTTGATGCAGGGTCTCTCGCTGGAACCCTGGGCTCACTGATTAGGCTAGACTGACTGGCCAGGGAGCCCTGTGGATCCTCCTGCCTCTGCCTCCCCAGCACTGGGATTACACATATGTATCACCATGGTCTAACTATTTATGTGAATTCTGGGTATTTGAACTCAAAGTTCTCATGCTGCCAGAGCAGGCCGTCTCTCAGCCATAGAGCCATCCCCTGGCCTCTGGTTTTCTAGAGTGGGTCTGTGACTCACTTGTTGTCTCTCAGACTCTCTTGTGTAAATCTGCTCCCCCCCCCCACCCCCATGTTCATGTTTTCCTATTGACAGCTAAAAGTTCTCTGCATATGGAAGACAGGAGCCCTGGGGCCAAGCTCTGCCTTGAAAGCATCACATCCTTTTGTTTCCAACCTAGGGCATTTACAGCAAGGGGGCCCTGGTGCAGACGCAGGAGAGGCACTTGAGAGTTTGATGTCCTGTGCATGTGGCTGAGAAAGGGCAGGTCTCGGGTCTGAGGTCACACAGTGAGGAAGTGGTGGAGGAGCTCTTGTGTTTGCTCTGTGTCTTAAGAAAGCCCCGATTCCCCTTTACCTCCCCCTCCTTCCCCTTTCCAAGGGGATCTGTGGTTCTTGCTTCTGTCAAGAGAAAGGCATGATCGTCCCTGTGCCTCGCTGCTGTGGCCTGCAGGGTTCAGTAAGGCTGTGGAAGAGGCTGACTCAGCATTCTCTTCTGAAGGGTTTGGCTTAAACTTCTGAAGTGTCAATCATGTGGAAGGTCGAGGCGTTATCTCCGAGAGCCAGGGGTGGTGACTCTGGACTCCCCCAACTCTTTGAGGAGTAGATGAACCCCACACTGGCCCCTTTCTAGCTCAACCCTTCTGGTGGAGAAGTCTCTGCACCCCACCCCTTCACAACTCCTCCCATACTGTCTTGTAACTATCAATCATTTTGTCTGTCTCCTAGCAACCTGGGACTCCCTAGGCCACAGCTCAGTGTTATATCCCCTGGGTCCTCCATCCCCTGCATAAGAGCTTATGTGCAAGATAGTGTCCGCTGGGTCCACGGAGAAGCTGGGCCACAGTTTTACCATCTGCAGAATGGGCTGGGAGAATGAACTGTAGTCCTGTCTCTTAGATGTTTGATTATGAATGACGGCTTGAGATGGTTTTCTGGACTCTACCATGGCCACGTGATGAGGGTTCTAATCACACCCCCAGTTTGCTGATTAGAAATCTGAGGTCTTGGAAGGATTCCAAGGATAGACTGCCATAGATTCCATAGGTTTCCCAACTACAGAGGTGGGTTTATGTTTCATTTTCCACATCTGTAAAATGGGGTTTTGAATAGGAGCTACCCTGTAGGATTTTCACAAAGGTGAAATGACATAGGACCCGAAATGCTTAGCAGATGGTGATCCTCTAGGCTCTGAATGCCACTTTATATGTCCACGGCACTCAGCCTCTGCCTGTGTCATCCATCCATCTGAGCTGCATAGAGGCCAATACGGTGTGTGTGTGTGTGTGTTTGTGTGTGTGTGTGTGTGTGTGTGTGTGTGTGTGTGTGTGTGTGTGTGTAAGCCGGGAATTGACCTCATGTGTCATTCTCCAGGAATCATCCACCTTACTCTTATTGCAACCTGGAGCTTGGTGAGTAGACTAGACCAGTGGTCACCGAGCCCCAGGGACCCTCCTGTCTCTGCCTCCCCAGCACTGGGGTTACAAATGCACACGGCCACGTCTGGCTTTCACAGGGGTGCTGCTGAGGTTCAAACTCAGGTCCTTATGCTGACTTGGCAAGTGCTTTGCCTACTGAGCCATCTCTCTAGACTCTAACATGGGTTTCCTCACAGATTATTAATGTCCAGGTCACATTAGTGTGAAGGCAAACAAGATCTAGGTCCTCTTCCCCGAGTCTCAGATACTGGTGCCATTGTGACCATTGTGGCTACAAGGTTCTGGGTAGGTCCTGAGCTTGGATTGGAATAATGGTGGAGACTTCTTCTTCTTCTTCTTCTTCTTCTTCTTCTTCTTCTTCTTCTTCTTCTTCTATCTCCTGCTCTCTCTCTCTCTCTCTCTCTCTCTCTCTCTCTCTCTCTCTCTCTCTCGGCCAGAGCAGGATGCTGGATACCCTCCTCTACCACTGTCCACTGTATTGCAGTGAGACAGGGTTTCTAACTAACCTGGCAGCTCACTGTTTTGGCTAGACAGGCTGGCCGTCAAGCTCCCAGAATACACGTCTTCACCCCCCAATTCTGGGGTTACAAGCATACACAGTCATGCCCAGCTTTTAATGTAGGTTCCTGGGATTTGAACTCGAGTCCGTAAGCTTGCAGAGCAAGTTTTCTCACCCTCCTAGCTACCTCCCCAGCCCTCATGGTTATTTCTTAGAGCTTCAGTTGTCTATGAATCAGGCTCTCTGAGGGGGAGCCTAGGGCATCTGTGTGCCAAACGGATGCCTCAGAGGCTTCGGTGCTCTTCATACTTCAGAATGGCTGACCGGAGCACTCCAGGGCTTTTCTGTTTCACCCTCTGCCCAGGTTTCTGATGCTTTGCTGTGCGTTTGAGTTTCCTTTTCCTTCCTAAGCAAATATCCACAGACCTCTGTGAAGCACATGGTCTGTGTCAGCAGCTGAGGCCAGGAGGCTGCGTGGAGAAGTGAAACTCTGTCTTATGGGACACAGTATGTCTGATCACACCGCTTCCCCCTGGGTGGGGGCTTCGCAGTTACTCTAAGTTATAGAGAGTCCCTTTAACAAGCAGACAGAAAGATGCAACCTGAAAACCAATAACAACACCATTCCTCCCTCAAACAGAAGGACGGCCCACCAGAGAGGCCCCACGGCTCTGTAGGGTGGTCTGCAAAAGGCAGACCTACTCCCAGGGATCAAGAGATACGTGTTGTAGATGTTTGCTGGACTGGTGTGGTCACAGGAGAGGCATTCCCATTGTCCAGTTATCACTGTTTTCCCTGCAGGAGGAGACACGCGCTGTATAAGTTTGTGTGAGCTTCAGGAACAAATAGACCCAAACACATTTACTGTCCCAAACCCAAAAAGACAACACAAGCAGGCAGTTCTTTTTATCTTCTGGTTCTCTCTCTCTCTCTCAGACCTTTTTTCCCCCCCATAAGTCTTATCATATTTCCCAGGCCGGCTCTAAACTCCCGGGCTCAAGTGCTCAAGTAATTCTCCTGCCTCGGCCACCCAAGTGCCTGAGATGGCAGGTGAACAGCACAATGCTTAGCTTAAAGAAGGTATTTCTGGCCGGGCGGTGGTGGTGCACGCCTTTAATCCCAGCACTCGGGAGGCAGAGCCAGGCGGATCTCTGTGAGTTCGAGGCCAGCCTGGGCTACCAAGTGAGTTCCAGGAAACGTGCAAAGCTACACAGAGAAACCCTGTCTCGAAAAGAACCAAAAAAAAAAAAGGTATTTCTGAGTGGAGGGCCTCCTGCCCTAGTGAGTCAGTGACCCAGCTTGTCCCCTCTGGTGGCATTCCTGTGGGCCCAGTGGAAGATGGGTAAGTGTGAAGGTGTCTGATGGTCTTGGCTGGGAAGCACTGCGCACTGCTTCTGGCACATTGCTTCCAGCCAGGTGCGTTGCAAAGGATGCTGGGATTTGGCAGTTTGGTAAGGGCCATTCTTGCCCAGCCACAGCTATGTCCGGGTCAGGAGAAGGGGCCTTTATGGACAGCTTACTGTCCTTGACATGAATATGGTGGCCTCCTCGGC